ATGGTTTTATGTTTACGCGGCGCGATACGCAACGCAACACGTAAAAAGTCAGTATAAGTCATTATAATCAGTAATTATGTCCCCACTGGATGCAACAAATGCCTCGTTTGTAATGGGTTTTATTGGTTTTGTCTCGTCTAGTGATGTCCGGATCACGAACGAATCGTTCTATTTAACCGGATCTTCTTAGTGAACCGGTCGAACCAGTTCACCAAATCGAACTGAATCGTTTGAAATGGTTCGCGTCTCCAGTACGCACTAATACACAAATTACTTAAGTTATTCGGTTTATAAACGTGCCTGACACTCCCTCTGACGCGAAATAAACCAATATCCCGAGTTATTCAGTTACTCCTAACAGTACATTGACTGAACTGCTAAAAGAGAACCGATGATGGGATGTGCACGAGCAGAGCAGCTGGACTGAGTCTCGTCCAGCTGGGAGACGGCATCACAGTATGGGGCGTAACATTTCTGTCACACGTTTGAGGCATTCGGCCAATCACAACGCACTGGATAGCTGGCCAATCAGAGCACACCTCGCTTTTTTAGAACGATGAGCTTTGTAAAAATCAACGCGTTTCAGAAAGGCGGGGCATAGAGGAGAAACAATAATGTACATTATATGGAAAATAATGTGTTTTTTGAACCTTAAACCACATAAACACATTGCATTACACCAAATACACAACATAATGTTCTTTTTAGCAACGTCATATGACCCCTTTAACAGTTTTTGTTTTAATAACACAAGGTCCTTGGAGAAGCATTAATGCTGATTAGTACTATCACTGTAAAAAAAAACTTTTCCTAAGTTGTGAATAAAAGAAAGAAAATACTATTTCAGTCTTTCTGCTTCAAAATTTCATGTTTAATTCAGTGTGTTACTTGCTGCTTCCTTGTATTTAATTGTGAAATTACTAGAAACCTCTGAGTGAAAGATTGTTTCTACACCATTTTTTCCAGTGTAGTTTTGTGCTGGTGTGGCTGGTGGATGAGAACAGCCATGCTCTTTACCAGCAATATTTGGAAAACATCTGTAGTAAAACTGATCAAGGCTTAAGTCTTGATACTTAAGCTAGCACACTTCAAAACCCAAGAAATGCTGGTGACCAGTCATGCTGAGGTCATAGTTATGTAGTTATATCACTACAATCCATCAAAAGATCAAATCATAAGCACACAGATAAGATCCATTACACAATCTAACAGCTCGTAAGATCACTAATACAGGTGGTGATGGTGACTGCTATTCACACCATATAATGAGAACAGAATCCATTAGAGCCCATCTTAGTCATCGAGAAAGGAAAAAAATCAGAAACCGAGTGTAGGTGGACTCACGTGGAGTTTTTATACTGCAGGAAGCCAAACTCATCCCGCTGACCATCCGGACACAAAGACTGCATGATGGGAATGATGCCCGCCGAGGTGAGAGGGGCCGTGGTGTAGAAGGCTGGACAGAACGGGGGGAAACCAGACCACCAGGGTGGAGGGACGGAGAGGACGGAGGTGACAGAAAATTGAAATCCAGTATTGCAAAGAGGTTTAAATGGGTTTGAACGAAGGTGCAGTTGTGTTCAGATATAGAATTGGAGAGGAACATAAAACAGAGCAGTGTATGGATGGAATGTGAGCGTGTGAATAAATGAGCGGGATCGTAGGATGTGGGATAATAGAACAAACAATGGCAATGATATTTTCCAAGGTCCACGGATCAAAGATTTAGGGAGAGATTAAAAGACAGGGAGAGAAAAAGAAGCAGCCGTCACATATCAGAGAGCAAACACAGGGTCAGAGAGGGTTTCAGATGTCAGATCACTTCGATAAACTCCAAGTGGCCTTCAAATGATTCACTTCATCACACACGCAGAGGTTGACTGGACAAGCTGTCACTGAAGCAGAGGAAAAACCAGCATTGCTGTGCTGCCTGGCTATTCTACACCCACATGCCGCCAGTCACATCGTTTAGAACACAGGAGTGGACAGCAGTGTTTAGATGACTCACTTCCTCACTGCAACCTGCTCCTGTGCACACTTGATATGGAGTCAAATCTCAGGGATGGCTAAATGATCATATTTGTCTCTCAAAGGCCAAAAACACTGTAGGAGTGACAACCGTGGATCAGGACTAGTTCAGAAATAACAATTACGTCATGATGTGAGTGATTCTGGTGAGAATAAAATGCACACTGATAATGTTTTTTTTAACAAAGGGAGATCACCAGATAAAGAGCAAAAGATGCACATTTAGTTATTTTATGTATTCTCATGATTTACTCATGCTGCTCCAGAGAATGATGGGAAGCGTAGTTTGGTAATGCCTAAATAAACAGTATTTTCACTACAGTAGATACACTACTATTCAAAAGTTTGGGGTCTGTTTTTTTTATTTTTATATATATCTCTTAAGCTCACCAAGGCTGGATTTATTTAATCAAAAATACAGTAAAAACAGTAATATTGTGAAATATTTCTACTATTTAAATGAACTGTTTTCTATTTTAATATATTTTAAAATGTAATTTATTCCAGTGATGGCAAAGCTGAATTTTTAACAGCCTTCAGTCTTCAGTGTGACATGATCCTTCAGAAAACATTCTAATTCAATTTGGTGCTCAAGAAACATTTCATATTAGTGTTGGAAACAGTTATGCTGATTTATTGATTGATTTGGAAATTGAGAAACATTTTGAACAGCATTTATTTGAAATAGAAATCTTTTGTAATATTAATAAATGTCTTTACTGTCACTTTTGATCAATTTAACGCATCCCTGCTGAATAAAACTATATATATCCCAACAGTACCAACTTGCTTCCGATATGATTTAATCGACGTTATCAACAGTCAATAGTTTGTCTAATGATCACAAGGGCTGTGATATTTGTTCACTTCACAATTCACACTACTTAAGTGTACTACTACCTAGAAGGTTACTTAATGGTAAGTGCTGAATCTTTTTCCTCCCCTAAGTGTTTTGTCACTGCGGCATGTGGCCTGTGGAGTTGGCATTCTCATCCAACAATGCCGCTCTTAAAAAAAAAAGAAAAAAAAAAGAAAAAAAAAGAGCCCCGCCGCAACATGCCACGTCGCTTCACCCAGAAGCAGCAGCGTTAGCTAAACACCACTCGCCATCGGCACCTGACGACTCTGCAAAAAACATCCCCCGATTGACATTAACACTGAGGCGTGTTATATTTCTGCTGTTCCAGTGACAGGTTGTCTGCTCACAAGAGGTAGCTGTGTTTATGGCCTCGGTTCTCTTATATCTGACATCTGCTCCCGCTCCACAAACACAGCTGAGGATTAAAAGAGCAAAGATCAGTCAGGGGAAATAACCTGATGGCTCAGTAAATGGATGAATTCAGTAATTGTGTGTGTGTGTGTGTGTGTGTGTGTGTGAGAGAGAGAGAGTGTTGGACAATTATTATCACAGCTCATTGGTTGAAGATTACAAATGTGTCGTTGTGTCAAGACGTGGTGTTTGAATAACGTGTCGTCGTAAGAAAGGTCCTTCATTCACAGTGGATTGTGGATTATGTTACTGTTCACAGAGACATGGGGGCCCCAACACCTAAACCTCTTACACCAGGCATGACGCAATAAAATGGCAAGCGATAAAAGCTATGCTAATCCTAGTTTCTGAAATCAGCCATAATAACGACTAGTGCAGCACTGTAACTAATGTTTGAAAACGCTCTAGGTGGAATGGGGTTTTGGACAATATCATGATATTGTGAAACATTATTACAATTTAAAATGTTTTGTTGTTACAATATTTTATATTTTATTCTATTTTAAAATATAATGTACCTGTCATGGCAAAGCTGATTTTTTAGCAGCCATTACTCCAGTCTTCAGTGTCACATGATCCTTCAGAAATATAAATCTTTCGTAACATTATAAATGTCTTTACTGTCAGTCCTGATCAGTTTAATGAGTGCTTGCTGAATAAAAGTATTAATAAAAAGAAGTCTTACTGACTCCAAACTTTTGAACAGAAGTGTAAAAAAATATTAAATAAAAAGGGGCTTGTCTGACTTTGACGTTGTTATTGTATATTGCCATTATTATGGAATACAAAAAAAAAACATTATTACTGGTCTTCAATAATAATAAGTTACTTTAATGCATTTATGCCAAGAAATGGAGGATTTATGCTGATACTATCTAAAACTCCAAAGTAGGGCATTTCCAAACTTTTGGTGGCCATGCTATATTTAAATTCAAACATAGATGAGCCTTCAGTGTGGACGTACAAATTTCATATAGCTGGAATCTTGGAATCTTTAATACATCGTGTGCATGTGTGTATGTATGTTGACATATGGGAAGTCTGCACATACTGCTGGAGTCATTTGCGCCCTTTTACAATTAGATTGATGCATGAGACAGTTGATATGACAAATACACAATAAACACGTTAGAGTCCATGAAAAAACACACACTCACAATTAGAGGACACACAGTGAAATGATCCCACAATTTAAAAGAGTTAAGAATTCAGCCATACACACACACACACACACACACACAAAAAAAAAAAACATTTTGACTTACACACTGGTCCAGCATGCAGTTAACATGCACGGTGAGGGAAAAAAAGAATGAAAGACAGAGGTAGAGAGAGAGAGAGATACAAAAGTATTGAGGACAGATGACAGAAAGAAGCAAAAAATAAAACATGGTGTGATTTCAGCACTGAAAATAACAGACATTGTGATGACATACAAATGAGGGTGTTCTGTGAATAAAAAAAATACTACATGGCTAAAGCTCTGTCTAGCAGCCAAAAAATCTTTGCAATCAATGACAGATTGGCAAAGTTGTATGAACCACATAGAAAAATTATAAACATTATTATATACCACAAACAACACTTAAAAGTATAGTTCACCAAAAAAATGAAAAATCCGTCATCATTTAATCACCTTTGTGTCGTTCCGAACCTGTATGTATTTCTTGCCTTCAGTGGAACACAAAAGGTTATGTTAGGCAGAATGTTCTCCCTTTTCCATACAACGAAAGTTCAACAATCACTGTTGGCAAAACCTGCAATCTGAATGTACATGAATGAGCACAAGATTTAAGAGCTAGAATAAGATTTAAAGACTGTTTCCCACACAGATCTTCAGAATACTTGGAATATAATGCAAAAGTTATTGTGGACTACTTTTATGATGCTTTTTTGGAGCTTGACATCTTCGCATTGTATAGAAAAGTATAGTCAGGACATTCTGCAAAATAATTCCTTTGGTGTTCTGCAGAAGAAAAAAACCCACACAGGTTTAGAACAACATGAGGGTGAGCAAATGATGACAGAATTGTTATTTTTGAGTGAGCTGTCCATTTAATTACTGATAAAGGCTAAAGGACCCAGTCTACTTAATTCAGGCACACAGAAGGCTAAAGGACCCAGTCTAACTAATTCAGGCACACAGAACTTTATTGCAGTGGGTATGTGAACTTCATAAGAACCCCAGGTGACAACTGAAGTATTCTGACCACTGGAGGGTGGGAATGAGCTGGGTTGGGGTAAGAGCCAACTTACTCTTCCTTCCTTCCTTCATGTCCTAGTACTCATATTCTTCTCTCTCTGTGCTGTTATGAAACTTACCTTCTTTCACTGGAATGGCCGGCTTCTTCTGCCGTAAGCCCAGGAGTATGAAGAAGAGCACCAGGGGGATGAATATCTCAAACGCAAGAACCCACTGCAGAGATTAACATACAGAGAAACAGGTTATGAAAGCTACACTAGCCACGGTGGCTGCTGGTGGTTATATTCATACTGCATAGTTAATTCACAGTTGGTCTGAACCTCTTTGATTGAACATCTGAAGTGTCACAGTTCAACTAGGGCTCATCAATAAAGTTAGTTTAAACGTTCTATTATAATATATCTGAAATGTAGAGTGGTTTCCACAAAAACTGTTTTAAAGATTGATAATAATATAAAAAAAATATTTCTTGAGCACCAAATCAGCATATTAGAAAGCTTCATGAAGGATCATGTGACACTGAAGACTGAAGTAATTTTGATCAAACAAATACAGTAGTAAATATAAAAATACATTACATTTTTTTCATAATAAGGTCAGTAAAAATGTTGGCTGGCTCAAGAGGATAAGCAGGAAAAAAAATCTCATGGTTGAGCCCTGCCAACTGATTGAGTCCAGTGTCAGGGATTGATCCAGTAAATACAGACTGGCCAATTGGAGTTTGCTTAACATGCAATATTTGCTAGTGGGTTGGCTAACACACCTGCTAGTGCTTCCAAACAGCCCATTCCAACAATTATAAAAAGAGGTGGAGGAGAAATTAAAGATATCGTATACACACACACTCCACAGCAGGTGGCTGGAAAGAGATGTCAAATGCTTTCAGGCACGTTGTTTAAAGTGTGCAAAGTACAGCAGAAAAGCTGCATCTTCCAACATTTACCCCTGCATTATTTCCACTACTTCCTTATTTGCTTTCTCTCTCTCTCTCTCTCACTCTCTCTCTCTGCAGGAGGCTCGTCTTTGGACAAATCTGAACTGAAGCTACTGAGAAATAAGCTGTTGGTTGAAGTGTAGACTGTGATTAGGAACTCACAGGGTTATAGCCAATGATGTTATTTATAGCTGAACTGAGATCAGCCTCTTATTCTTCCTCCCTATACGAATGCTTGTGGCTGCCATCTGTGCTTGACCGAGAGGGGCTGATCTCAGATCATTATCTAAGGGCATCCTGTCCCGACCACAATGTGTCTTTCACTGCAGCACAGCATCACCACAACAACACTGACCCCACATCCCGTCTCTGTTGACAAGTGACAAGAGAAGGTGCAGAGGTTTTTCTCTTGCTGTTAGACATTCTCCCCATCTCTGCCATTTCTGAAGGTCACAACAAACAAGAAGCTCCTTTTACATGCATCTCTCACAATACACAAAGCCGCATCTGACACAGCACACAAAGCTTCGCTTACGAGACCCTCGGTGCTGAGCACAGGGGATGTAAACACCAGCCAAAGAGTGCTTGTTTCTTTTTAGAAAGTCCAGTGGCTTATTAAAGGGGCAAAGAAACATTGCTTCACTCACAGTCAGTTTTAAACTGTTATTTGTATGTTAGAGGCTGTTCATCTATTATGTATGGAGCTATTGTGTCTGCCTGTGAGCACTGCTCCTATTCTCAAGTGAAGTCAAGTGTATTTGTATAGCGCTTTTCACAATACACATTGTTTCAAAGCAGCTCTACAGATCGAACTACTTTATTGTGATATATATCTTTACCGTGGTACATCTCATGGTACAAGATTTTGGTCATATATCACCCACTGTTCTGCTAGAAAGTTATACATAATTTAAATGTGGAAGACAGAAGGGGCATGCAACGGGCAATCAATCGTTGAGTTATGACAGTATTTTGGCACAGGTTGCTACTGTAGTCGTTGGACAGCATCATATAGTAGGGGGAGTAGAACATCTGGCTGGATCTAGAAGGCCCTGGTACCAAAATTTTGTGACCTTAATGAGAGTGATGGATTATAGCGGTGGAGAAACCTTAAATGTCTTTTGTTTTGGTAATAATCTAATTTGTCTAATGTAAATATGCAACAAGTTACACTACATGACTTTTGCCCAGATTTTTGCACCGATTTACAGTCTGGAGAAGTTAAGACTTAATCGAAAATCGCATAGTGTAAGTGTATGATGATGGTCACAGATTTTTTTAGCTTCAGACTATAACTGCTTTTCCATGGTCGGATCAAACGGTGGAATATCCAACGGTTTGATATCCCACTCAGTCGGAGGATATGAAACATTTTTGATATTTTGAGCCAATTTTAGAACACATACTGTTATAGCAACATGTAGTTTCTACATGAAATAGTGAAATGTTTTGTGCTGTTGGACTGCATTTCAACATCTCCTGGAATGCTGCTCAGCCAATTAAATTTGAGGACTACCTGTTGTATTAAAAAAAATTTGAACTGGTCAAATTGGTCTAACATGTAAATTATGTAGGTAATTTTAACTTACTTATAGAACTACTGTATAAAACCGATATCACCATCACAGGCTGGCAAGATTTTTTTATGTTTTTATTAATGTTCACCAAAGCTGCATTTATTTAATCAAAAATACATTAAGGACAGTATTATTTTGAAAAACAATTACAATTTAAAACAACTTTTTCATTTTCCTTTTAAAAATGTAATTTATTCATGTGATAACAAAGATGAATTCTTCAGTGTCATACTTACGTATATTTATTAACCGTATGTTATTGATTTAATATATCTTACATCGATCCACCTTCCCTTGCATAATTTGTCTATAGCACATCTGTACATACGATATACTGTTTACAGTCTCTTTGTCTATTGTGTATTGTATTTTACTTATTTATTTTTACTCACTTCTTTTTATTTTGTTATCTGTATCTTGTCACTTGTCAACCTGTCTGTGTACTGGAAGCTTCTGTCACCAAGACAAACTCCATGTGTGTGTAAGCAGTGGCACACCTGGCAATAAAGCTCTTTCTGATTCTGATTCATATGATCAATGTTGAAAACAGCCGTGCTACTTAATATTTTTTGTAAACATTTTTTTCATGATTCTTTGATAAATAGAAAATTCAAATGAACAGCATTTATTTTATCTTATACTGTCATTTTAATGAATTGTAATGCACCATTATGCACTAGAACAGTCTAGTCAGTGTCTTTCAGCTGTCCTCTCTTTATACTTTATCTGCTAAAACACAATTTCCATTCACCAAATGACTGAATTACATCTTTGTGCCACTGTCCACCAAGCACAGCATCCATCACCAACCAACAGGCAAATAATGCAAGCTAAAACACTTATCCTCCAATAACAATGCATGCTTAGAGATATGAGGTTTTCTGTCAAGTAAATTTGAGATAATGGAATTGCTTTTTCTGTGCGAGAACTGGAGTACGGCTCATATAAACCTCCATATACACCTCTTTTCTCAGCCAGTCTCTCCCCAGACAGCTCATATGAACGGAGCCTGCATAATCAGATAAAACTCACATGCACAAAACATCATTTAGCATTCATAATTACATTCTACTAACCAGTGCATGCAAACAGGCCCCACAGTCACCCGAGATCGAGACAAAGAGCGCTATTTGTGTTTGTGTGAGCTGTGTTTTTGAAATGGGTATGTTTTGTAATTATTATGTTGTGCGTGATCAGAAAGTCTGTGTGCTTCAGTGAGAGTGTATTTATTGCTTAAAATGGCAGCAATAGCACCATTGTCCAAGAAAATGAAGTTACATTTATTATTAATAATTATTGGAATAATTATTGATGCAGTACGTAAAGTAGTAGTCAATCACTTTAGCAACACTTTTAGCCATTTTATGGCCCATCCAAACAGAATTTAGATTCCATCCCTGTTTTTATATTTGTATCTGCTTCTAAGTGCAAGACCTGGACGTTAGGCCACAAACTATGTAAAGCTGCTCGAGACAAATGCGACTGTTAAAAGCTCAATACAAATAAATCTAAACTGAACTAAAATGAGTAAGGTGTATTAATGGCAAGTGTGTTGAATGTGCTTCATCCAAAAGGTGTAATGCAGTTTCTCGTTCCTCGACTCTAGCCTCGCAGTCCAGGCAGCCAGGGCTTGAAGAATGGATTTGTGGTCATTCACACTGGATTGATTACCCATCTTCCCCTCTGTTAATACCCAACAGCTCCAGGCTAAAGACATATTTCTCTTGAGACTCACTGGGACATTGCTGCATTTCCATCCCGAGCAGGTTATACAGAAACAATTCCACCCAGACAACAACAGAGGACAAGGGACCTCAATACAACATGCAATGCTTTGTTTTTCATATGAATAACTCGACTAGATGATACACGGATATAATATTTCAGGCGCTGAGTGAAGATCATTAAAGTTTATCTGAAAATGAAACCCATTTCAGTCAGTCACCGACAAAGAAAGCTGAATAAATATTTGTGGATTTGTTCAAATCTCAATCAATACAACAGCACATTCAAAAGTGATTAATAAGTGCATTAAGAGCTGAAAGCTTTAAAGTTGAAATGGTTCTAACTTCTTGCTAATGTAACTTGATTAGATGTTATCACCCTACCTAGCGCTAATCAATTAGTCAATGACATATTTTAGACCAGACCATAACTAAAAAAAAATAAATAAATAAAGTAAAATAAAACAATATTCACTATGTATGACATATCTGTACCATATCAGTTATTGGCTGATATTAGAGATTTTTTTTATTTTGATATTGAATGCATACAGATATTGGATATTAATTGTGCATGCTAATTTCCACAATTTTTACATTCAGATTACCTTCATATATCATTTGCTTGATCTAAAAAAACAATAATTTAATAACACTGTAACGTTTAATCATTACCAAATCCATTTTTCATACTGTACATTACAATGTTGTGATGCCCATTTTCCGTTGTAGCATTTAAAATGACTGGTTTTAGTTTTTAGTGATTTATTTTTAATTTGTCAAAAAAAGTAAACTATATTATTGCCCAGCGATATATTAAAAGTTGGATATATAGCCTAGTACATCCTACTTTACCTGCATACAGTACATACACATGTAAAGCAATATATATACTAATTAGCAAATCTCAGCTGTCTGATTTTTTATTTCATTGCAAAATGTAACTATATATCACCCAGCTCTATATAAAGCTGGATA